AAAAAAAAAAAAAAAAAAAAAAAAAAAAAAAAAAAAAAAAAAAAAAAAAAAAAAAGAAAAGAAAATGAAAACCAAAAAAAACAGAAGAATGAACAAAATGTGGCATATACATACAATGGAATAAAAAGAAATAAAATTCTGACATGTTACAACATGATTGAGCCTTGACATCATGCTAACTAAAATAGACCAGACAGAAAATCAAATATTATATAATTCCACTTACATGAGGTACCTAGAGCAGTCAAATTCTGAGAGACAAAAAGTAGCATAGAGGTTCCCAGGGGCTGGTGGGAGGGAGAAATGAAGAGTGATTGTGGATTATGTTATTCCCTAGAGACAGGGTGTTTCTCTGTTGCGCAGGCTTGAGTACAGTTCCACAATTATAGCTCACTGCAGCCTCGAACTCCTGGGCTCACATGACCCTCCTGCTTCCACCTCCCAAGTACCTGGGACCACAGGAGGTAGAGACAGGTACACCTCCTCACCTGGCATGTTCAACGGGTACAGAGTTTCTGCTTGGGATGATGAAATAATTGTTTTCCTCATTTTATAGATTAATTGTGGTACTGAGAAGTTAGGTAATCTGCCAAAGTTCTCAGAGCTTGTACATGGCAAAGCAGAATACAAACCTCAACCTTCTGAGGCCACCAAGCCCAGTGCCAGATCCATTACACCAGAGCTGCCTTACGTGGATATCACATGGACATGTGAAGCTGGGAAAGGGAGGAGGAAGGGGAATGGAAAGAGAAAGAGAGAGTTGAAGTCCATGACCACAGCTATCCTTAAGGTCCTTAAAGTTGTACAGGAGCAAAATTTGACTCCACACGTGGCATGACTATGGGAAAAGGTATTTTTAGACTGAAAAATAAAAACTACAATCCAAGTTCTTCTGCTAGATTGGTTTTATTCTGAATCTTTATCTTTGAAAGAGACTAAATAATTGTGAAAATAATTTCCCTACATATTCATATTGTATATCACATCAGAAAACTTCATGTCCTGATTAAACAAAAGCAAAATCCTATAGTTTTTACTGTTTTTAAAGAGTGGCCAATTCTAATAAATACTGCCATAGAAATAATTGCAAATAGGCCGGGCACAGTGGCTCACACCTGTAATCCTAGCACTTTGGGTGGCTGAGGCGGGTGGATCACGAGGTCAAGAGTTCAAGACCAGCCTGGCCAAGATGGTGAAACCTCATCTCTACTAAAAACACAAAAATTAGCTGGGCGTGGTGGCAAGTACCTGTAATTCCAGCTACTCAGGAGGCTGAGGCAGAGAATTGCTGGAACCTGGGAGGCGGAGGTTGCAGTGAGCCAAGATTGGGCCACTACACTCCAGCCTGGGTGACAGAGTGAGACTCTGTCTCAAAAAAAGAAAAAATAAATAATAGCAAATACACCTCCCCCCTACAAGAAGCAAACTCTTTTCCTGTTAATTTTCGGGCAAAAGAAATTACATGTATGTCCTTTGCTACCTAGTCTCACAATAGCTTAAGTCTCAATATGTAAGCACAAAAGTAATAAAACAAGTAGGCGAAAAACAAATTCAATTAGATGGAAAGGTAAAAAAATAAATGAGATATTTGCTTGTCGGTTTGTCCACATTCAGTTTAAGTCATACCAGAAAGTCAACAATTACTAACTCTAGCAACGTGAAGCACTTCAGATTTTTCACCTACTCCCAGTACTCAGTATCAGAAGACTTGATTCCAAGTAATTAAAAACCATGTCTTCCATATGTTTCCACGTTTCCATGTGGAAGACACGTTTTTTCTCGGCAAAGGTCCAGTAAGGTTCAAGACACAGTGTTCTTCTTCCATTAACTACTGAGGAGCTATCAACCAAGAGCAAATTAAATTCAAATAGCCTGCACCTCGAATTCAGGATTTTGAGTTTCTTTAAAAACCTTTAGGGTCAACACAGGTATAAACATGAATGATTTTACCTCTTCCTTCTTCCCAGTTCATACTTAAACAACTGTCATTAGCTTGCATCTCCAATACTCCCCAGCTCACAGCACACAGTCCCACCAGCTTCCCCAACCGCACGCAGCCTTCTCATCTCTACGTTCTCAACACTGCTGCACTGCTTAATTAGCTTTCTTTCAAGAGAAACCCCAAGTAAATCAACAAGATATTTGGTAGTAAATGCTTCCAGAGTAGGGGAAAAGGAGAAATGACACAGGCCAGAACCATCCCACACTCCAAATGTCAAATACACTTAGCCGTTTGGAGGAAGCTGGTGTGAAGAGCCAAGTCTGATGTTCTGACCTCGCGAGAGATCTGGGTGCTCTTCAAGAAATCCAGGTATTTCTCAGTCTTACTCTTCATTATTTTTTAGGAGACATTTAACAGGTCAAAGTTTTAATGTACTCTTGAAAAACAAAGACATAATTGGATACCTCTTAGAATTAATTGGATACTCTTGAAAGACATATTGGATTCCTCTAATACCTCAATTATTATCCATACTTGAATACCTACAATTGGATATTTCTTAGAAATTGTCTTCTTTTGAAGGTAGATCTAGGAACTGTGGCAATCGAGGCCATGTGAAACATAATTGTTTCTTACTATAAACAGTACGTAAGTTTGTACTCCTTAAAACTAAGGCGTTACATGCCTATAGGCTATGAAGTCAAAGTTATAAAAAATATATGTTATATGTAAAAATATTTTCATGATAGAAAAGGCTTTACATAGCAGAGAAGCATTTTGTTTAAAAAATTCCAAGCATTCCAAACAGGCAGGACTCGGTGACAGAGGAAAAAATTTACATATTTCGCCTCTTTGAGATGTCAACAAACCAAAATGATTCTTCAAAAAGTGATTTATTTTTCTATGCACAACACCAATTCCCTAAAGCAATGACTCTCAGATATTTTTCAAGCAATGAGCTTTGCAAAAAACAAAAATCTTAGTCAAACCACCAGTGTATAAAACAGATTCAGGTAGACAAGCACTGGTACCCAATGGTGGGTGTCCAGAGCTAGCCCCCCTTGGCCTTCCCCACTCAGCAGCCCCCCAGGCACCATCACAGAAGCCTAAACCTGCCCCACGCGCAGACTAAAAACTAACCCGTTCGTTTTGCGCTTTGGGCAAAACCAACAATGAATGTTTAAAAAGTGAATGACATGCAGTGAGAACTGTATTAAAAAAAAAGAATATCAATGGTTGAACTAATTTACACTCCCACCAACAGTGTAAAAGTGTTCCTATTTCTCCACATCCTCTCCAGCATCTGTTGTCTCCAGATTTTTTAATGATCGCCATTCTAACTGGCGTGAG